TGAGATCACGGTTCCCATGCTGAACACAGCACAGTGCATCCACAAAGCAGTTCTGGAGGGGTCGTGGCTGTCACAGCAAAGTTTTCTGCTGCCCTCGCACGTCTGGTCACTTTCTGCTAAATCATCCATCCAACACAAATGCAGTCTGTGGGATGGCCATGGGCTCAGCTGGAGTTGCTGCTGTTTCACTTGTGCTGGGTTACAGCACTGCTATTACAGAGGAAGCTATTAGCTTTTTCATGTTTCCAATAGGAAAAAATATCACTTTTGACATATTAAAATCCCATATAGAGACAGGGCTTTAATTTGCACTACTCACACAAAGGGTGACAGAGAACAAGCTGAGATATGACTCTAACTAAACACAGCACATTGGAGGATTCAACTACAGCTGTTTGTTAGATTCCATGAGGAAAGAGAGAATCAAGGAAAAGGAATGGGAAAAGGGAGCTCTTTTCTTTCTCCTGCCTCAGGCCAGCATGATGGCTCCAAAGCTTCTGCAGCCTGTGACAAGCAGAGCCTAATTTTAGTAGAATGATCATACAGCTTGTGCTCCAGCCAAACTTCTGTAGTAGCCCTATATAAAGCCCAAAGTTAAGCAACATACCCAGAGTCAAATATAAACTAAGATACACTTCAGAAAATATTCTCTTTGTCTCCATTATTCTCTATATTTACCTTGATACACATACTGAAGTTTGGGCTTTTAAAATGCCTCTTTCCTTCTTGTCGCACTACAAAACATAAAAACTAAAACCAAAGCAATCAACCGCATACTATTTTGAAACAAAAAATTGATGCCATTATTTCCTAAGTGTGCTTAAATTTACACTCACTGTTCCTGAAATTTAATTCATGCATAGATAAGACTGATTCCTATTCCTTTTTTTTAATTTTCTAAATAAATAAATACATAAATATATATGATACTGTTTTGGAAGCTTAGTGACAGTACTTTCATGGCTTGTGAATGGCTTGTGGGAGCTAAAAGCTCATGGAGCAGTTTGCTCACACAGCCCTGTGCTCGCCTGAGAATGGGAATTACAGTGAGGGAGAGCGTGGCAGGTGCAAGCAGTGTACAGTACATTGAAAAGATGATTCTTTCACAGACCGTGCAGCTGATGTTCTTGGAAACATGGAGATCTTTGAAATGCATGCACAAGCCCAAGCTTCCCTTCCTGGTTCTGACAGCTTGCTCTTCCAAGGTGTTTTCACCAGTTGTGCCTGCTGCCACTGCATCTCCTTTTAGTCCAAGACAGCGTTGAGGAGACACTGAGAGAGAGGCAGATGGGATTTGTCCACAACACTGAGTGAGAGCTGCCACATAGAATCATGGAATCCCTGGAGTTGGAAGGGACCTTTAAAGATCATCTAGTCCAGCTCCCCTGCAGTGAACAGAGACTTGCACAACTAAGTCAGATTGTTCATGGCCTGATCCAGCCTTGCCTTGAATGTTCCCAGGGATGGGGCATCAACCACATCTCTGGGCAACTTGTTCCAGTGCCTCATTACCCTCACTGTAAAAGATTTCTTCCTTAAATCTAACCTAAATCTATCCTCTTTGAGCTTGAAGCCATGTCCCCTTGTCCTATTACCACAGACACTGCTAAAGAGTCTTTCCCCTTCTTTCCTGTAGCTCCCTTTTAGATACTGAAAGGCCGCTATCAAGTCACCTCTCAGCCTTCTATTCTCCAGGCTGAAATGAAGATGTGCTGGCAGGAAAACTGGAAGGGGCACCCAGCAGCAGTAGGACAGCCCAACGACTGCAGCAGTGCCCAGCTAGAAGCTGGGGAAAGACTAACACTTGCTGAAGACACAAATACAAAAGAGCTTCATAGCAAATAGGTGGAGAGGAAATGCTGCACAGCTCCTCTGCTAGAGCTGCTGAACCACAACAGGGCGTGCTGTGAAGGAAAGCAACCACTGTTGCTTTGTACCAGCTGCTGTCAGGTAAATACTTTGTGGAGGAAATGCTGCTGTTACCAGCCAGCAGTCAAAGCAAACAACATGGTGATCTTCAAGAATGGGGAGGACCAGGAGAAGTGCCCTCTAGGAATGAACCTACTTCAATAGTAATTTCAGTATGGTGGGATTAAAATACTAGCCAGGAAATAGTGGCAAGCATACCGCAGTGAGATGCTGGAGATGCTGTTACATTTAGAATATGCCAGGATTTTTTTTTCCATTGGGAAGAATTGCCTGGGCCAGAGATGAGCAGTGGTCCACCTGTTGTAAAAAAACATTCATTGTTCACCATTTTTTTATGGAAGATCTGAAAATGGATGAAGGATTGTGTAGGACTCCCACAGCTAACAGAACCGCAGGTCTGGGAGAAGCAGCCTCATCAAACCCCTGAAGCATGGCTGAAAGAGGTCCTTACACCACAGCTGTGAGAAGTACAGCATCACTAGTTCCACTCTTGAAAAGGACCTCGAAAAGGAGGAGAATTGGAAAGCAATAGTTTTACTGCAGGTAGCAAGCCAGTCTCTTTCCTGAACAACTGACAAGATCGATGCCAGGCTCACCATCCCCAGCTTCAGCCTAAACATAAACATTCAGTTTACAAGAGCTTCTCATGAGATAGTCGACAGCTCTTCTTGCACTGCTGTAAAACCCCTCCCCTGTTTGTCCCTCTGAGCACCAAAGAGCATAAAACAAGTACAAAACCAAACTAAAACAAACAAACAAACAAAACCAACCTGCGAAGCTGAAGCTTTTCCTAATTTGTTTTCACAGCTCATATGAATGCTCTCATATTCATCTGTCAAAAACAGAAGGCACACAGAGACAACATCTCAGCTCCTGGACGCAGAACTGCATACCTTTTTGAACTTTAGATTGCTGAGGTTGAGTGTCATTTACAGCTCCAGCATGAATATAATTAGGAAGGAGGGTAAGCACACAAACAATAGCCAGGCATACACTTCAGCAGAGTGGGAACCCCATGGGAATTTGCTTAAAGTTTCACCTGGGGAATCTGTCAAAACCTTCAGCAAAAAAAAAAAAAAAGACAGTTTTTCATAAACTTGCATGTGAAAGAATAGTAAAATCACTTTAGAGGTCACATGCGCTGAGAAACTCACAAATGTAGTGGCCTCAACATAAAACTCTGTTAATTGCTCACAAAAGCGGATCTTCCAGTAGTTACCTATTTTCCTGCATTTAAGTCCAAAATCCTAACCTCATTTTAATATAGTAAGCAATGGGATGGATTTGCTAAGAAGATTATCCTGTGCAGGGAAATGAGAAGCTAAGGTGTTTATTTTAGCTAAGGAGTAAAGACACTGAAGAGAGCTGCTCTGAAGCACAGTTTTAAGGGCACACGTTTTTTGCTAAGCAGTTCTTAGTGAATTTGTTGACAGCTGGACTGAAAAGCAAAGCTGCGGGTTGGTTTTAAAACTCAAAGCAATTTTTTAGGCTTCAGTTGTAGCCTTAAAAATGCACACAAAGGAGATTTATTTTCAGCATTAACAGAAATGCATTCACTACAAATGAAGAAAATGGTGTCAGAAAGTAGTGCTTGTAGTATGAGAAGCCACGTGAGCTTATAATTTCTCAAGTGCAAGCAAAAACGTGTGCTGACAGCTTAAGCAATGTGGAGTCAAAGACTAGCTGCTGCTGTGTTGTTCATTCCTACACTGCTTGTTGAGTAATTTGGTAGAAAAAAAAGGATAAGAGAATTCCAAACCCAACACTTGTTTTAACTGTAGACAAAAAAAGCACCTAGCAATCCCTGTATGACTGCTTCTGCAAAATTATGACAAGACAGTATTTGTGGTTACATGCTACAGTATTTCAGATTACCTGCACTGTAGGTAAAAATCAAAGTTGTTAGTATGAAACCATCAGACTATTTATCTCAAATGCTGCTTCTCTTTAGTGACAGAAAACATGCACACTACATTTCTCTGTTCTGAAAGGGGGAAAAATAAGGTGAAAACCCTAATTAGAGTTCTGCTGTGGGATGCACTGATGACTGGAATGAGAGCAACAGGCCACCAAGGTGACTAAAAAGCTGCAGTTGACATAGCTGAGTTTGTTCAGGTCTTAAGAGAATGCTTTGGGAGGACCTTACTGCTGTCTTCAGCAGCCTACATGGAGGACATGGAGAAGACAGAGCCAGACACTTCTTAGAGGTGTAGCAGCAGGACAAGAGGCAGCAGACACAAAGTAGAACATGGGGAATTCCAGTTAAACATAACAAACCTTTTTTTTCCACTATGACTATGGTCCAGCACTGGAACTAGTGGCCTAGAAAAGTTGTGGAACTCCATCTTTGGAAATGTTCAAAACTGAGCGGGATGATGGACTAGATAGACTCTGGAAGTCCCTTCCACCCTAGCTTGTTCAGTCATTTATAAACTGGTCAGCACAAGTGGCTCTGGTCAATCATATAGAAAAACACAATAATCTAGAGGCTTGGGTTGAAAGGGATATTTAAAGACCATTAAAGTTCCAGCCCTGTGCCATGGGCTGGTTATCACCCCCCCAGCTCAGCTGCTCAGGGCCCCATCCAACCTGGCCTTGAGCACCTCCAGGGATGGGGCACCCAGAGCTTCTTTGGGCAGCCTGTGCCATTGCCTCACCACCCTCTGAGTAAAGAATTTGTTCCTAATATCTAATCTAAGCCTCCCCTCTTTTAATTTACAACCATTTTGTCTTGTTCTATCAGACCATGCAGAATGTCAGCCTCCCTCCTGCTTAGAAGCACCTTTCAAGTATGGAAGGCCTCCCAGAACCTTCTCTTCTCCAGACCGAACAAGCCCAGATCCCTCGTGTGCCAAGCACACAATAAATTTGTTTTGTTTTTACCTGGTAATCCCCGAATTTTTTAGATTTTTCATTTGTAAAAGTGATGTCAATGTAAATCACAACAGTTTAAAACCAAAGTGAGGACTGAGAATGTTGCTTTTAGTAGCAGTGGCATCTTTATCTGGATTTTACATTAGTACACTAAGTGAGATGTTCTCAGTAGCTGAACTTGGATGCAAAGCAAAAACTCTGACATGGCATTTTATTAAGTTGTCATATCTCTTTTTGTCAGCAGTCATTAAAAACAATCTGTACACATCTAATCTAGCCAACAAAAATAGCCGTACAATTTAACGCTATATGCCCCATTTATATAGCTCATTATGCTCTGAAGTTGTTCCATTCATTGTTTTTATGGGGACATGAACAATTACCAGCTTGAACATATATTAAAAGTAACATTACATTCTGCTCTCAAAAGTACAAAAAAATAACACTTTAAATAGAAACTGGCTCCTAAGCTTAGACTGAGGCCTGTCAGGAAGAGAATTCCGCACTTCAATAGACAGTGCCTTCCACATCAAGAGCTCTTCAAAGTGCTTGGCAGAGTGCGCGAACATTACCCCACCTCATAGATGGGAAACTAAGGCACAGAGGTCAACTGCCTTGCTCACTGTCACACAGCGAGCGAGTGGTGGAACTAACAGAATGTGGGCTGTTCAGCTGTCCAGAATAACCACTGCATTGCACTGCCACCATTCAAGTGCAATGGCTGAAGCATTTCTGAGGAGCAAAACTCTTCAAGAGTACCATAAACAGAAAGGACAACTCAGAAGCAAAGGCTTAAATAATTTCAACTCAAACCAAATTTGGTATTCAATAAATCAAAATGCACTTACGGGGTTGGTCACAGATAAAGTTATACATTAACTCACAAAGAGAAAGTTCATTAGATGTAAGAGATAAGGCATTATCTTTGCAAATAGTACTCATTATCCTAAGCTTGACAGTAATTCAGGTACTGCTGACTCCATCAGAGAAGTAGTAGTTTCTGATCAGCAGACATCTTAACAGCAGACATCTTAACACTGTTCTTCAGCCAGTAAAGTACAATTCCCTAGAACATCACATGGAAATGCAAATAAGGGGTCAAGTAACTGCCCAGGAGCCATGGATTTGTGTGAGGCACAGAAAAAAAACAGCTTTACTTGCTAGTGAGGTATGGACTAAATGGTGGAGAAATACCAACTGATAACAATAAAAGAAGTCTAAAATAAATAAGGTCAAGAAAATGGAAATTCGCCACCAAAAATCACCAAGACATGTTCAGGTAAGATTATGCTGCTGAAAAGTGTTAGTCAGTCCTTAAATGGGGTCTAGGAGGGGTGAAACCAGACTCCACTCCTGGTCACACTGCTGAATTGCCTTCACCTGTGCTCCAACAGCTGATCCAGTCCTTGCCTCAGGTGATTAATCAGTGGTTCAGGCCATGACTCAACAGTTCCCACACAGATGCTCATGAGTTGACTTATTTACTGACACAGACTCCTGGCAGGATTCAGAAATATATACATTTTAATTCTAGTCTTCACTAATTCAGTGAGAAGGAACTGTATCTTGGCTAGAGTGAGACGATTGACTTGATTCCTGGGCCAGCTGCATGTGCTAATCTGGATGGGAAGATCCTGCTAAATGGATTTCTCCATTTTGCCCTTGATGAGCATGGAGATGTTCTATTGCTTCCTTGGAAAGGGTGATGACGTGCATTTGTTCAGGCTGAGCAGTCTCTATTTGGTTTGCCATCACACTGATGTTTTGGATTTGTTCCACTTGCTCCTGCTGAGCTGAAAGCAACAAGTTTTGCAACTGCTGTGGTGGCTGAGCAAGCAACGTGAGGTTAGTAGCATGCCCTGTTGCCATATTTGGGGCACTTTCTGCAGCAACAATACTAATGCCTTGATTATGACTAGGCATGAAGTTTATATTATGCACTGCATCTGCAACCAGCAATTGAATTTCCTGCCCTCCAGAGGTGGCAAGTTGATATTGCTGCAGCTGAAGAATATTTCTCACTTCCTCTGAATTAGTGTTGGTGCTTGGAGCAGTGCTGGCTTCTTGAAACTGCTTCTCCTTGCTATGAATTTTCAAGTGAGACTTCAGGTTGTCCAGACGAGCAAACTGCAAACTACATTCTGGGCAAGAAAAAGGCTTTTTGCCTGTGTGTAAGATGCAGTGTCTTCTCTTAGCGCTGGAATCAGAGAAAGATTTTCCACATATCCCACAAGAATATGGCTTTTCTCCCCTGCAAAAGAACATACTTGATATCATGAAAATATTTGCTTTGAAGTGCTGCTTTATGCAGCTTAATACAGAATAAGAAACTGAAATGATTATTTTCTTTTGCCGCATCATAAACACGTAAGAACTATCATAAGAACACATAAGAACATATCAAGTATTCTCTGTTTGACTTTCTATTTCTGTTCAAAATCATGAACTGCACAATGCTTTCATTTTCTTTTGCTACAGAAAGAAGACAACTTCAGTTCTGTCCTAATACCAGAGGTACAAACTGCTACTGCGTCTTGACAAGGATGCAACTTACTTGCACAATTGTAAGCACTACAGTAAAATGTTTATTAACAGCATTAGCTTTAAAATTAAAGGAAATCTCTAGCTCCTAAATTGCTGCCTATCTCATATGGACAATAAATTAGACTGGAAATATATTCTTTTACATAAGGCTCACAGCACTTCTCCAATTCACATTGGAAAAGCCTTTATGTAATACAGCTTTTACCCACGCCAACATCCTAAGTAGTAAAAAATGCGACAGACTACAGGAAAACCGGAAAATGCTCCAATAATCTTGTTACGCTATGGCTGCTATTTTGCTGTTACATATTTACAGTACAAAGTTTTGCATAAATAACACAGCAATAAGTACATCATCATTAAACAGACACAATGCACAAAAGAAATACCTTCAACACCTTACTACACTAGTGTTGAACACCACTTTCTACTACTAGATTAAACAAAAGTGTCAGTCTTTAATCATCCATCCAAAATGCAAACAAGACTTGAACACTCTGTAACTGAACAAGCACAAGATACAGGTATCAGAACAGAAATCATATTTTTAAAGAATGTAATGAAAATTAGACATAGTTCACCTGTGAATTCTAATGTGAGTCTGAAGAGAACTTTTAGCTGTGAATGACTTGCCACAGATTTCACAAGTGAAAGGCTTCTCACCTATCAAAAAGAAACATGACATCAGTTCTCATTTAGTACTTAAAAACATTTGAAAGGTTGTTTTCCAGAGGGTGGTGGCACGGAACAGCCTGCCCAGGGCAGTGGGCATGGCCCCAAACTGCTGGAGTTCAAGGAGCATTTGGACAGTGTTCTCAGACATAAAGTTTGAATACTGGTTCATCCTGTGTGGAGCCCAGAGTTGGACTCAATGAAATCTGCAAGTCCCTTCCAGCTCAGGATGTTCTACGATTCTATGACATTTCACTGTACAAAATTATTAAGCATGTACAGACAAATGATCATGCTTCTGCCAATGGTCAGTATGGATATCAGAAACTGAACTCATTAGTAAGGGTATAGCCCCATATACCTCATTTATAAGGGTATAAAATGTTAAATGTTAAAGGTACATCACTCTATGAAGACAGACAGCCGGGTGATCCAAGCCCGCAGGGCAGCAAAAAATGTACCAAGGCAGATGCAGGTGCCTGAAGTTGGTCCACATGGAACACAGAATCTTGAAAAACACTGCCCCTGAACTAGCAGACAGCACCAGGCTCACGTGGAGCACTAAGCCTATCAGTAAGCCCATACTTCCAAACCCGAAGTGTTTTATCTTAACAAGTCAGACTTCATCCTAGACCTGCAATGCCCTGAGAATATGTCCCATGTCCCTTCCCTTGGCACTGGGGTTGGAACTAGACCATGTTTAAAGGTTTCCTCCAATCCAAGTCATGCTATTTATCTAACACAGCTGGAGAAAAAAATAACTTATGTTGGATTGAATAAATTGTTTTTGTTGTTGTTTCGACTGCATTTGGAATTTTTGTGTCTAATTGAGTAGAAGCAGAGTGACCAAATTAAATAACAAAAAGCTTAAAAGAAAACAGATATTACCCAGCAAACCAAAGCTAATTCACACCACAAGTTTTCTTTGTTGCATGCAACATCTTTAAAAGACTAATTAGGAGAATCTGGATCACTACCATGGTAACCCACGCCACCAAAGCACAATGAAACTCGGAATGGGGCAATAGCCAGTTTTCAATGAAGATTCACAGTGAATTCTGGCAATGAAGATTTTTAGAACTGCAATGCTTACCAACTTTCCTATGAAAAGAGGAGTAACTTCCTTAAGTTATCTGTGTTCTTATTAAGCACAGTGCTACAAAACTGCAGCCAAAGCAGTCATATCAATGTTAACATCTGACCTCCAGGTTCCTTGGGATTTTACTCCTTGCTTTTGAGATGGAACAGATCAATTTATATTTCCGCATTGACAATATTGGCATCTGGCCTCTTTTCTGGAAGCAATATCGACTGCAAATCAGTTTCTGCTAGAATTCAGTGAAATAATGTCTTTGCAACACACCTTGCTACCATGACGATCCTTCTCATTTCTCACCACCACGTTCATGTCCCATTACATTTATAGAGCTTTATCAGCATCGCATACTCTTATGTCAAAATGAACTGTGCTGTCCTCAAGAGAAAATGCAGTATTTCTAAGTATTGCAAATAAACACAAGCCTGGAAACAGAAAACACCCAAGAACACAAGTTCTGACCTTATCACAGTTTGATGTTGTATACACTCTACAAGTAATATAAGTAAGAAGAATCCAGCTTTGGGAAGAAACTATTGCCACTGTTTACAGCTATTTTAAAAGAAAAAAAAAATACAAGTAATTTATGCACATACTCTTCAAAGAGAAGTATTCTAAGAATCTTACGCTTTGTCATCATCAGAGGTTACATCAACACTTTTATTTGATGTTTCCCAGCCATTCAAGTACCACCTTGCTTTCAAAGTCTTAGAACATTTTTTTACATCACTTGCATTAATTTATCCCTCCTAGCCAATCTATGGCCAGAATCTGGCTTACTGCAGCATAATAAAACAGTAAACTGAAAAGACTGTTCTTATGGTCAGCAGCGTTTCCTCAAGCATCCACCCCCACAGACTGGAGTAGGGGGACGTACACTCTTCTACGACGTGCGCCTTCTGTTACTACATAGCTTATGTCTAGCCTAACAAATGCTGCATGTGGCTACCCAGATAAACTAAATTCCCACTCCACGATTTTATCACAGGAAAACTAATTGACATCTTCTGCAGCAGGTTTTCTAAGGGAAAAAGAAAAAAACAAAAAACAAAAAAAAAAAACCCTTCCTATAACAGGTACCGCTTCTGTGCTGTTGTAACACAAGCTAAATTGTGCTTATTATGAACTCCTGATATCTTATCTCCTAATTTGAAACAGGCACCACAGTGCACAAGCATAGCCAAAGCTCTACCCAGAGAAATAAGCGTCCCTTGCCTCATATATGGTTTTGTCTGTGTTATTTCAAGTGAAAAAAAAAAGCAAAACCAACACAACAGCAGACATTATTACCTGTATGCGTTCTTAGATGTTTCTTTAACTGAGCTGCATCCATGAATTTGCGATGACACTGGTTGCATTCCGGCAATGAACGGCCTTGTCGCAATAATAAAAAAAGTGTCAGTGCATAAGTGATCCCCTTTATCTCTTCTGTGATCTTTGTTAAAGCACTCTCCTGTAAAATAACCACTTTGGTATAATACGAAGATCAAACAAAAGGTGATTCACTGCCTTGTCTCTGTCTTGTCATACAAACCAGCAGAATGACACACCCCTATTTCTCTATTTACTCTTAGCATAGTGAAAGAGGGAACTGAGAACTATTTCCCCCTCAAACATACTTTCTCTCTCAGCATGTATGCAACATGGGCTGCAGGGCTAAAATGTTTTATGGTAAATACAGCACAATTTTTAAACATCAGAAGGGTCTTCCTCAATTAGCTACCTTTGTAGACATTCCATTTATTATTCACTATTCTGTTTTTTCAATCCTATCCATTGTTACGTTGAGATATCACGTATCATGGTAGCAAAGCCTATATGCATCACTGAAGAAGAATATTCAGCCTTAGTTGATCTTTACAAGGACAAATCAGCACAGACTGTCAGCCAGCTCTTAAACTAAAGCTCGTTATACCTGTATGTACTCGATAATGGCTCTTGAGCTGTCTCTTTTGGCTGAAGTATTTCCCACACTGATCACATGTAAAAGACTTTTGCCCTGTGAAGAAAATCACTTATTAAAATGCAACCCACATCTAACATAAGTATAAAAAGGAAAAAAAAATAAAATCAACACACATGAGAAAGGGCAGAAATACTTCTTTTTCTACAAAGGCGTATTCTTGCAGGGAGAGTTAGCTTTGCTTTGCAATATTTACCTGTATGTAGGCTCATGTGTTCCAGAAGAGAGTGCTTTGTTGTCAGAGCCTTATTGCAGACAGTGCATGTGTATGGCCGCTCTCCCGTGTGCATCCGCTCATGGACCTGAAGAGAGTGCTTCTGGGAAAAGCCTTTGCCACATTCACTGCACTTGTAAGGGCGCTCTCCTAAAATCAGATTTGTCAGCGTAGATGCATTACTTCTCAATAAATATTCTAAGCTGATAGTGAGACTCACTGGAATCTAGTTTCTACATAAAATGACTTCTTAGAAGTGATAAGGAGAATGAAAAGAAAGAGAAAAGCTTCACGTGGCAATAAAATTTATTCAAGTATTGCCATATTACTCAAAGTTTGAATAGAGAAATGATTACCTAAACTGGAATCAACATAAGATGTGAAGGCTATGAAGCCTGTTGGTAAGAATAAAACAGCAGAGAGTTTCAGAAACACACCATAACAATTTGGATTGGTGCAGTCTTCTGGGCAGCTCTTGCTACAGACAACAGCCCACACTTCAACAAGTGGCTCACACTGTGCAACAGCGCTAAATCCTCTACTGAAAGAGACAATCTCTCACCGCTTACCTGTGTGACTTCTCTGATGAATAGCTAAAAAGTGATTATATTTAAATACTTTGCCACAGTCTTTACAACGAGCCTCAGAACCCGTACGTTTTCTTTTTCCATCAGTTCTCTTTGCCAGTCCTTTTTCTTCCTCTTCACCAAGAAGTTTATAATCTTTTAGTTTGATTGACCTCCTTAGCCTACGTTTGCTGTAACGGCTCTGAGCACTCTGCATTCCTTCCGTCCTGGGATCACAATTCTCATCTTTCTCAGCTGACAGATTGGCAGCAGGTTCTGATCCACCAGCAGGTTCTGTTTCTTCTGCATCTTTCCTGGATGCTGGATCTTGTTCACTGACAACTATTCCTTCTGCTGCCATGTCTTTTTTCATAAAGTTTTGTTTATTTTGCATCGAGTTATTCTCCTTCAGCTGCACATCTTCAGCAAAATTTGCTCCTGGTTTTTCCTCTTGGACAATATTGATCTTCCTCGGTCGCCCCCGTTTTCGCTTGGGCAGCTCTTCACTTTTTTTGTCACCTGCACTAAGTGCTACAGAGGTGCTGCTGTTGGAAGGGATTGGCATTGTGTCTCCGGGGCTGCGGCTGGCCTGGTACTCATTGTAGGCCCTCAGCAAGTCGTTCACCTTCAGGAGCTGTGCAGTAGCTATAATCTGTTCCGAGCTTTTCTCAGTAGCATGGATATAACCCGTGTAAATAAATTCCAGCAGTGCTCCAAAGGCATCAGCAACCATTCCCTCCAGCATGTAAATCGACTGCCCTATGTCGCCCTCCTCTACAAACATCATTGAAAAGTATTCACTGCTGGCAGCGAGCAAAGCTTTATGGGCTCTGAATTGCACATTTTCCACTATTAGAGTAATGTCACAAAGAAAATCTTTCTTCCTTTGTTCTTCAAAGTTAGCTAGAACGGTATGTTTGTGAGTTTTGGAGTGGATGACGACCAGTTTCTCAGAAGGGTCAGGAGACATTTCTGCCATTTTTATTGTGTATATGAAAGGAGGCACCTGCAAGGACAGAATAAGTTAAACAAATCTTAGAAGTCAGTGTTACAAGACATCAAATATCATTTTGTTCATTAGTCAAGAGAGTTCAACAATTTCTGAAGCAATTCTGAAGCTTCTGAACTGTTTGTATAAAGTCAGCTCTAATGCCGGCAGAAATTTTCTTCTTCAGAATGTCTTAAAATCCTAACAAATGACCACAGGTAGCTTCTTCCTAGATCAGTTACAGCCAACTGTTTCAGCTGTTTAGCTCTAATGTACCACGAACTGTATGGCCACCCCTTCTGAGAACTCCTCTTTCAAAACTAGAACAAACAGAACTCTTTGTTCGCAGCTCCTAAGCAGAAGCAAACAAACAAACAAAAAGTCAACCACAGCCACATTGCTGTAGATGCCCTATTTTGCCCTGAAATCCTGTGATTGTGAATAAAACATTACCAGCATTGGTTTGGCAGAACTCCGTGCCCTCCTGAAAGCTGATCTTTCAGAATGCTCACCTTCTAAGCTTCACCCTATGGATGTTGTTTTTGTTTTCTTAAGATCTCTGTCGAAAATAGGGCTGAGTATGCCAAACGTTAACTGTTATTCTATCTTTAATAAACAATGAAGATCAAGCAATTTCAGAAGAAATGAAATGAAAATGAAAATACTACGGAAGACCCATGCTAGAATCATAGGATCATAGAATCACAGAACGGCCTGGGTTGAAAAGGACCACAATGATCATCTAGTTTCAACCCCCTCACTATGTGCAGCATCACCAAACACCAGAAAAGGCTGCCCAGGGCCACATCCAGCCTGGCCTTGCATGCCTCCAGGGATGGGGCATTTCCTGAGTGTCAGCTGAGCCAAAAGTGAAACTACTTAACTATCTGCCACTTGAAGTTATAGGTTCTGTATTTTAGACAGAAGTACACCTATGAACAGTGCTCAGTGAAGGCAGCAGCTCTGACCAGCTGCAGGAAGGCTGTACGAAGCATCACACAGTAGGCTCAGATGACACCTAAGGGTGAGCAGAGCAGCTCACAAGCCGTTTAGCTCCAGTCACCAAACAGCTCATGCCGAAGCTAAAGCACAGTCCCATGCACAGCTGAAGGGACCCATGAAGCCCACCCAGCCCAGCCTGACCAGAAGTTACAGCATGTCAGTGCAGGCACTGCCCAAGCACCTCTTGAGGAGAGGAGCACAAACACCAACCAACCCTCTGGTAGCCTGGCCCGGTGTCTGACCACCCTCGTGGTAAATAACCTTTCCTTAGACCCTACATCCCCTATCCTCACAATCTCCCCCGTCGGGCGGAACCTATGCGATGGGCTGGGATCACAGGAAGGAAGGACGGACTTCGGCGTTCAGTGGCGGAACGCCGCTCTCGGGCACGCTAACCCAGCACACCGGGGTCAGAGCACGCACGGGGCTGCAGCCGCACGGCCAGCAGCGCCGCGCCCAACGCACGCCTCCCGGCACAAACAACGCCCGCAGACCCCGTGCGGCGCGGGCAACGAAGGGGAGCGGGGCCCACGCCGAGGAAGAGAAGTGGCCTCAGGGTCACCGCCGCGCCCGCCTCCCGCTCGGCCCCACGCTAGGCCCGGGCCCGGCCGCTCCTCCCGAGAGCTCGGGACCGGTGCGAGGCCGCCGGGGCCGGGCCAGCACTCACCGCTCCGCCGCTACCGCCGCCGCCGCAACTTCCGGCGCCGTGACGTCGGACGGCGGCAGCGACCGCCCCAACAGCGGGGCCGTCGGGTGTAGGTGGGTGCGGAGAGAGCTATAGCAGCACGCTTGGAAGGAAAACGTTTTATTTTCAGCTTTAAGTTTAGCGGTGCTGTAGGCATAACAGTTGTCCCGGCGGCATACAGCTCCGCTCCGCGGGGTAAGAAAGACAGTACCTGAAAAAAAAACCAACAAAACAACGCAGTCCGAACTAGACAAAGCTTGGGCTGGTGTCTTTCAGCGACAGGAAGGTCTGCAGCTTGAGGTCAAAGCCGGGCGGTCGGTGCTGGGGCTCCGTGTACTCGCGCTGCATCGCCCTCCCCAGGTAGGGGATGAGCTCGCAGTGCTCGCCGAGCCGCGCCAGCCGCTTGCGGTACGCCTGTCTCCTGTGCACCGGGCTGCGGGCGTTGTGCGCTGCGAGAACAGAGAGTCCTGCGTGAGATTGCGGCTGCGGCACGGGCAGTGATAGCACTGAGTCTGCAGCCGTGTCTCGTGCGGGTAACAGTGCGGGAGGCCTCCAAAGTGGAACACGGGAAGTTCCATTCGAAAGTGAGGGAAACAGATCCCTTCCAAACCCTTCGATCCTGCAAAAGGGTTAATCAGGGGTGCGTGCAGTCGTCCTGAGCGCCATCTGGCAGCTCAGCAAACGTAGCATGGCCATATTTCCGTGTGTAAACTAATCCGTTTGCCCAGAGCCAGGCGAGCTCCCCATCATTTTTGGAATTTCTGCATCCTAGCTCAATTATCTATGACCTAAATATTTTGCCCATAAAAAAATCAAGAGCTGACTGTGTATCTCCAGTATTTCAGAAGCAAGGAAGGAAGGAAATGTCAAAGCCTCGTTTACAGTGAGGACAGTAATGCTTCTTTCCTCTTAACTCTGCCTTAAAACATATTTTTGGGGTATATTAGTGCTGAGTGCCACCCCTCAGAGTATCTATTGTTGTTACATAGGCAAAGGGCAGTCAGAGGTTTAGGACAGACAAATCCTAACCATTTCTTCCTAGGAGATGGTATTTTATATCTCTTAACAAAGACTGAGCAGCACAAAGAGCTATGGAACACTTCAGCCCACTTCAGCTTTAAAATGTAAACAGCCTTATTCTACAGGTGTTAAGTCTGAAGGGCACTAAGGCACTACTATAGGGATGTGGAATTTCTTACTCCTTTTCCAGGAGTAAATCTCTCTTCATTTATAATTGATGACCTGCACTTTCTCTTCTCAGGTAGCGAAGGCAATACAGGATTGTTAGGAAAGCTGCAGGAGCAACTAGACCACTGTTTCTTGTTCTCTATTTGAATGTAAAATAAGAGGGTGCAGTGACATTTCTTACTTCAGTTAGAAATGGGTTTGAAACATTTACAAAGGGCCCTGACATGAAGCTTTTGAATCATGTTTTTGAACAGGAACAACAAGAGTCCTTTGAGGAGACAATAAGTAATGCTATATTTGCAAAGGAGGTTTTTCAGTATACTAGAACACTATGTCTTAAAGTTTGAAACAGTTCTGCACAGTCTTAGAAGGGGAAAACCTGTTTTCCTGGATTCCTGTGGTCAAAATGTAAGTACATGAGAAGAGTTTTGTTGCATAACATTTTCACTTCATCATCTGATTTAATAATGCAACATATAAGAAAAGCATTCCAAGCATGGACATAATTATATTAGGAGCTGGGCTAACAATAGAAAAAAAGACAAAAAAAAAAAAAAAAAAAAAAAAAAAAAAATATTTTGTAGATAAAGCAAGCTACAGTATAGAAACATTTTTTTCTGGTTCAAAGACTGTACATTTATAAAGGGGCTTGTATGGTGCCTATGCTGCTCAGTGGTCTTCCTTAACAAAGCTACACTAGCAAAAGCCTGTGGCAGTCCAAGAAAACCGTGAAGGGCTCTTGAAGCTGCAAGGGGAAACACTGAATGTGAAAAACTGCAGACATAATAAAGATTGCAACTATCTGGAAATATAAGGAAAAAGTTATGAAAACAAAAGGCAAATCACCAGACAGATTGGCTCATCAAAGCCAAAACCGGTGGGCTGAAGAAATCTCTGAGTATACTGGAAACCAGAGCACTCTGAAACTCCCAGATAATATTTCAGGAGTCCTCAATCACAGTGATTTCAGTCATTTTAAAGACAATTCCAGTCGTTTGAGACTAGTTCCAGCAAATCTGGTGCAACCTAGATAAATAATCTTTTTGTTTCAAAACTCGTTGATCCATGTTAGGAATATTATCAAGACTACTGGGTTGTTGGTGATAAAATGTTATTCAGATCTCATTATTTATGAGCCTATCTATCTGCCTATCCTATTTACCTTATTTTTCTCCCCGCTCTATGCATGTTCCCCAGAAACTTGGCAGTGAGTACTTAACCTATACTACAATGGTATTTTTCCATATTGGGCATTAAGAAAACAATAGAAATTAATTATCAATGTTGAATCAGATGATTTACTGCAGTTATTTAATTTACTACATTTTATTTTATACACTACCTTTTAGATGGCAGGCCACAAAAAGGAGAGCAGTTCTTCTTACACTTAGAAATGGGAACTTTGGCTTTAAGCATCCTACTTCATTCAGAGCTTTTATTAGAGAAATTGCTACTCCCTAAGGAAATAGAAGTTTTGGAACACCATCACAAAGTTTTAAAAGACAAACATGTCAAAATCCAGATCCTGTTGTCAAGCAAATCTAAGTATCTAAGACGATATCTAATGATAAAGCAAACAAACCAACCAAAAATCCCCAGCAGGTGAGGTTTAGGTTAGATATTA